TTAAATTATTTTTTTTTTTTGTCAGTGGACCTTTATTTTATTTATATGTGGTGCCGAGAATTGAACCCAGTGCTTGCTAGGCAAGCTCTCTACTACTGAGCCACAACCCCAACCCTGCAGTTTAATTCTTAATAAATACTGTGTAAGTGTAAAACAAAGATGAATCAATAACATTGATTCTTTATTTTATTACTGATAATAGTAAAATGTAGGAAATAGCCTAAATGGGAATAAAAATTTCAAGGGCAAAGATAACATAGCGGGGCTGGGGTGGTGGCTCAGTGGTAGAGCACTTGCCTGGTATGTGTGAGGCCCTGGGTTCAATTCTCAGTACCACGTACAAATCACTAAATTAAATAAAGGTTCATCAATGACTGGAAAAAATATATATATATAAAAAGATAACATAGCTACCTGTAAAAATATTAATTACATAATATCATGTGAATTTCTGAAGATATCAGAATAATATGCATTTCCATTTGTTTAAAGCTATGGTGTATAGTATAATCAACATATTTATATAACATTAGTGTAACTATTGCTACTTACAAATAGCATTAATTGCCTTTCATTAGTGAGAAAAAGACCATTACATAAGGTTTTGATAAATTGTTTATGCATATATTTCAGAACACTGCCAATTCCATTCTTATATTATTTATTTCTTTCCATTGAGACATTTTATTGTGTATGTTTTATATACTTAGAAAAGAATTCCAGGATTTTTCCTCCTGTGTGTTTTCATCTTGCTTCTTCGTGGTCCATGATGCCACCTGAGATTGTCAATACAATGAAACCAAACTGACAGGATGGGAGCAGATTATTCTGACATTTTTCTAGGTCTTTGAGCTGCACATCAAATCTGGGGCTGATCACTCCACACTTGTTTAACCTGCCTGTGAGACTGACAACAATTTTCCCAGCTCTGTGATCATCAATGATTTCAAATTCACCAATGTAACCATGTAGAAACCAGATGATGACTTTGAAGCTCAGCCTAACAAGCACCTGGCGTTTGCCTCTCTTTTCGGCATTACTGATGTTCTTGAGAGTATCAGCCAGGACATTCATGTGCACCATTATGGTGGCACAAAAAGGTGGCGGAAAGACAGCATTTTTGAATAATTTATATCAAGTGAAAACCTGAGTTTTTCAACAAATTATGAAATACTACTGAACTCAATTTTAAACACAAAGTGCTTTTCAAAAGTATAAATTTTGTTTTAAAGCAGCTCTTTTTGTTTGCAGAATTCAATGTTTTTATAATTTTGTAGATAAACAAAATTTAATATTTTTAAATTAAATATTTACATTTGTTTTTCCAAATAAATAATGATATTAAATAGTTGTAATGAAATAACTAGTCAAACTTCTTCTAGACATTAAATGGTCTGCTCCAGGTCCTGTTTAATGGCAGTCAGAAGTAGAACAAAAGTTTCCAGGCCCCAGATTCTGAGAAGGAGGTGCTTATCCTTTTCTCCTTGTACCTGTGCAACACTAGGGAACATGTCCAGTCCACCTATGAATTACTGGCTGACTTCACTAGCATACATTATGCTTACTTCATATTTTAAATCCATTTTATGAAACAAATATCACACTACCAAACACTTGCTAGCATTATGCTCTTTACCCTTTGGAATAGTTTTTAAGCAAATAAAATTACTGAGGGATTTATTTAAATTGAAGATTGAATTTTGCTATACATTTTTATTCAGTTCCCATAGCAACAATTCAAATCAGACAATCTGCCTCTAAGTTACTTATTGTTATTAGAATTCCATTTCATGTCTCTGCTGAAACTAAGTAATGTTAAATAATGATCTTGAGAAAACAATTTACCACAAGTAACTGGCTACGAAAAATTTAAAAACACCCAGGTAATTCAAATTTAATTTATGTCTAAGCCTTAAAGCAGCAATCACATCTCTAATGTAAACAAAAAAAGTGACCTAAATGCATACAAATGTTTTCATCTGAATAAAACTCTCCTAGGAAAGAGATATTAAATTATAAACTTATTAGGAAGAAAAAAATCCAGCTGTATTTCATTTATTTATATTAATCTTGTCATAAAAGTTACTTGAACCTGCAGGTGTAAGGTTAAAATGAGAAATCTACAAAGAAGGATAAAAACTGAGCAGGAAATTTTTCAAAGGACTTAATTTAAAAAACATTACCCTACCACCATGCTAAGTCTGTATATTATTGTCCTATTGTGCAATCTCTTATTTTTTTTTACTTGAGGCCCTGTGACGATCATAAACAAGAAACATTCCTGAGAAGTGATTACAACCACAGGGAGAAAAACCAATCATAAACACTGTGGTTTTCTATGAAAGCTTTTGTTTCCTCACATAAACCCCTACTGTGTTGAACGAGTAAACCTAAATGATGATGATGACCATGTGATGATGGCATCTTTTTCTGACTGGGGAGATGATGGGCCAATTGCTAGTTTTGAGTGTTAAACTTTTATTAACATTTAATGCTTTTTCACATCAAGCTTATGAAATAGGTAGACTGAATCTTCCCAATAGGTTAAAAATACCCTATTCTTATTTCTCCAAATCTCTGTATCTCTAATAGAAGCTTCCTAAAGCAATGCCAATCTCTACATAAAACAAACAACTCAATGGAAGCATGAAGGATGGAGGAGAGGGTAGACAAAATGGCATTTCCTAAATGCTGATAAAATTAGTAATGTGGATAGCTGCTTACATGTATGTGAATATTCACATTATTTCTTCTCTTAGAAGTCAACTGCTCTAACTGAAGCATTCAAATCAAGTCTATAAACAGTTCTTGTTAGTTGGGTGCAGTAGTGTATGCCCGTAATTCCTAAGGCTTGGGAGGTTGAGGCAGGAGGATTGAAAGTTCAAGCCAGCCTCAGCAACTTAATGAGACTCTAAGCAACTTAGTGAGAACTTAGGAATGTAGCTCAGTGGTAGAGCAACTGTGGGTTCAATTCTGAGTACCAAAAGCAAATAAACAAACAAATAAACAAAAACACTTCTTGTAAGTAATCAGATTCATTCTTAAAAAGTGTCTTATTCATCTTCTCATCATTTATATTAGTACTGTCCCAATACATTATAACCACTATCACTGATTTCTGGCAGTGAATATGTGGACAATTCTGAAATGCATCCATGTGCTATAAAGTAAAATATTTGTGAAAGTCTGGATTTAAAAAGCAGCAGGTCTGAAAATATTGAACTAGGACACCACTCTGCTTCTTAGTGACTATATTAACTTAGGGCCTGGCTCCTCCATCCAAAAATATTACTTTGTGTTTTCTCCTCAAAATTCAATGAAAATATGACATGCTAGACCATGAACCTGAACCTCAAGACTCACGACAAAGCCAATATGTAAATTAGCCTTCAACAATAAGGAATAAGGCAAAGAGGATATGCCTGCCTCCTCTTCAAATACATACCATAGTGTAATTGTGAGCCACTTTATGCAAATCTGTACAACCCTGGGCATCAGCAAAAGAACGGATTCCAAGACAGTTGGACGGGTGAAGCTGTTTCATTAAAAACTTACAGCATGCTTCCACAACCTGTGAAAGCTGAAGAAGGCAAGCTGTAGATAACAGGCATTCAATATTATCTTCTTTTAATTCAAGGCGGCCTTAATGATAAAAAGAAATTCCATTAACTAGGGAAATACATGAATCTTATTTTATAAAATAATTGATGTTAGTAGTAATATTTTGAAATAAGAGCTCATTACATGTATTACAAACCTACAAAATATAAGACATTAAAAAATAAGATAAAAAGTAATGAATGTGGGGGAAAATTATTAGCTCTTTGTGATCTCTATAAAAAAATAAAAAGAAAAACTAATGTCTTATTTTCAGAATTTCTAAAATGACATATTTGTAACATCAGTTCTATATAACTCTCCAATTTTAAGTGCAAAATTTTCACTAATTACATAATCTATCTAATTATTATATTAATATTTTAAAATACCATTCAAAAGCTTCATTATGATGTACTTTAAAGGTTTAACATGGAGATTTTTAACCTATGTGAGGTATTATCAAGATGGTAATGACAATAGCAGAATTAACGGTTAGCCAGACATATTTTAATGAGTCTGGAAATCTGGAATCTAATAATATAACACAAAATTAAGGGGTTTTATTTACATTTTCAGACTTATTACCTGTATATGCATACTGAATCAAGGACCACAATGAGTTTGGTTCTACACCTTCCATTTTTATTTCTTCTTGTCTTGCTTCTCTGACATCATTAGTAAACATGGCAGCAAAATAATCAGAGACAGAGGAGAGCACCAATCTGAGGATTAGGAAAAAAAAATCAATGAGCGTATTAAATCTGATGTTCTTTAATAAATGCTTCATCTTTTTCAAAAAATTTGTTACCCATAGAAAGTACATGGTACTGGGAAATGCATTTTAAGTTTGACAAATTGCTTTATGCTCTACTTCCTTCCTTTGAATAACAAATTACCATTATGAAAATTTTCTGCTGAGGTAAATGATTTACCTGCTTACCACTCAAATACAACTTTATAACATCCAGAAAACAAGCCACAAGCCCATAGCATTAAATCAACTACATATATAAAAGAAAAAATGTTACTTTTTATCATTTTTTAAAATAATCTAAGCTATCTTTTAAAAAAATTTAATGGTAGAAGGAATGAATATATAGGAAACAGTTAAAAATGGTTTTAGCAAGTTACTTTTAACTTTTATAACACTTTTATTATCATAGCACATTGTACCTATATTATTGTAATACTTATGTATTAGTACTTTGAAACTATAATATTTTGTTATAAAACATAATAACATATGGCCTGTTTCTGTGGATTTTTTTTTTTGGGGGGGGGAGGGTGGTTCTGGGGATTGAAACCAGAGTCTTTCACATGCTAGGCAAGTGCCATTGTTAAATTTTATTTTGGGACAGTGTCTTGCCAAGTTGCCCAGGCTTGTCTTGAATTGGCAATTCTACCTTAGCCTCCTGAGTAGCTGTGACTCAGCAAGATTTTTGACAGTCAATAAAAATAAAAGTAGTTACAAATATATGTATTTTTGAAACATGCATTTTTTTCACTTGATTATATGTCTTGAAGATATTTTTATGTGAGCATGCTTACACAGATTTACATTATATTTATTTATTTTGTTTTTTGCAATGCTGGGGACCAAACCTAGAGCTTTGCACTGGGGAGGCAAGCTCTTTACCACAGAGCCACATCTCTAGTCCCTTTATTCTTTTTTATTTTTGGTATTAGGTGTTGAACCCAGGGGTGCTTAACCATTGAGTTATATCCCCACTCTTTTTTATATATTTTATTTAAAAAATATATTTTTTTTTTTAGTTGTAGTTGGACACAATATCTTTCTTTATTTATTTTTATGTGGTGCTGAGGATTGAACCCAGGGCCTCGCATGTGCTAGACGAGCACTCTACCACTGAGCCACAACCTCAGGCCTTATATTTTATTTTGAATCAGGGTCTTGCTAAGTTGCTTAGGGTCTTGACTAGTTGCTGAGGCTGCCTTTGAACTCGCCATTCTCCTGCCTTATCTCCTGAGCCACTGGGATTATAGTTATGCACCCCTGTACCTGGCCCTTTACCCATTTTTTAAAGAAGTAAAAATAATAATACAAATTATTGATGAAGTTCCCTTTGTGTCCCTCTCTAATTCCATTCTTCTGCTTCCTTAGAACTGAACTGAGTTATAAGGTTTGTCAAATGACTCTCTTAAGATACTGTACCAATTTAGACCCCGACTAGTATTGTATAAGAGCTAATGTTTCTCCATAATATTGTCAGATGTTAAAATTTTTGGTCATCTGCACAATTTTAAATATACAATCTTGCTGTTTTAATTTTCATTCCCCTAATAATTGGCGCAGATATTTTCAAATATTTACTAGCCATTCAGATTCCTTCTTCATAGAATTACCTATTCATTCAGTCATTTGCTGAACAAATATTGATGTGCACCTAACAATTAATGAGTGCTCTTCTAGATACTTGAGATACAGCAGTACACCAGACAGAAAAAAAGACTTTTCTTTATGTAGTCTTACATTTTAGAAGTAAAGGAGAGAAACAATGAAGAGTAGCACCTTATGTGATAGTAAACAAAAAGGTGATAAGTACTATGGGGGGAAAGTAGCGTAAAGACAAATGGAGAATATATGGTGAGTTTAACAGTTGCTCTCACTGGAAGGTGATATTTGGGCAAAGACTTTGAGAAAGTTATTTTCTGTTTATCATTTTTAAAAATAACCTAATAAGCTACTTAGTCACAGTATCTATGAACAGCATTTGGGCAGAAGGTGCAGCCAATACAAAAGTCCAAAGACAGAAGTGTCATTACTGGCACATATAAGAAATTATAGAGCTATTAGTGTGGTTCTTGCAGAGTAAGCAAGGAGAGCAGTGGCACAGAACCTTAGGAAATGGCAGGCTGGGTCACACAGGTCACTAAATGTACTTTGGCTTTCATACTCAGTAACATGAATCATTGAGAGGTTTGGTCAGAGTGACTGGATCCGAGTTCCATTTTAGAGGATCACTCAAATGGCTGTGTTGAAAACAATGTAGGGTAAAGGTGTTAAGCAGAGATACCAGTTAGGAGGCTCCTGTAAGTGAGATGGCTAACATGAGTATGTCAGGTAATCTGGTAATGTGTTCAGTTCAGGAAATACTACAAACTTTGAGATATCTCCAGGAAATCAGATTGAAATATCTTTAATATGAGCATAAACTCATGCTCTTAATAGGATGCTCTGTCACTAGTAAATAGTATTAGCTCAGTAAATGTACACAAAATTGACAACTATAAGATAAAGCCCATTCTTGTTTTACTTCTATTTTGGAAGATTTTTTTTAAAAAACTCTTTGGAACAGAGTGTTTGTTAATTAGTTTTGAAAGGCATAAAAAATCATTTGGGATCACAGTGATGATCAACAATGAATAATTGAATGAATATGAAATTATCAGAAGAAAATGAAATGATTTATCATTTGTTAAAGGCTCCTGCCCCCCGCCCCCAGTACTACTTTTCATATTTCTTAAGAGATCAGCAAATAGAAGTTAGGATACATGTAGTTTTTTAAAAACTGTTAGGGATACAGGTGTGTAGCTCAGTGGTATGGCACATGGTTAGCATGCATAAGGCCCTGGGTTCAACCCATACCACCAAAAACAAACAAAAAAACTTAACAATTATTAACACTTCTAGCAACTCTATTCTACCAGTTTTTCTTTTTCCTAAATACCCATAAACTCTAATTTCCCCTGAATTTACTGAAAGTATTTAATAACTGTGGAAGAAAGTTGTTTGTAGTAGCTGAAATCTATACCGGACAATATTGACTTGTCTAAGGCCACTGTGTTTTTTTTTTGTTTTATTTTGTTTTGTTTTGTGTGTGTATACTTCTAAAAAGGGAAAATGAGCCTTTTAGGATCGTTCAATGTATACTAATTTCTATATGCACTGTTTTCTTTGTGGAAGTCCCCTGAGATCTACCCCTTTTCAAAAGCATAATGGTCAAATGCATTATGTTACCTCGCCATACATAACAAAATTACCTAGGAAATATTTCACACATACAAATTTAGAAAACAATTACCTGTGAGCTGGAATTCTGCGATCACCAGCAACTAAAATTACATCACATAACTGTTTATGTCTCAAATAGTTTTCCATTTTTTTAAATGTTTGCTCAGCATGATTAAGGGCTTGAAAAAATTCATCTGATGAACATGGCTCCATAGTATGGCAGGATGATAATGTCTGACTACTATTAGAAGTCCTGAAAAGAAAGAAAATGCACATTTTAAAATATCACTATCACTTAAAAAGATCTTTCCTATTATATCCTTTTAAATACTTCAAATGTAATAAAACAAATCAATGCTTTCAATTTTAATCTATTATTTTTTAAAATCAATGATAGCTCAAGTTACTATGAGTGAATATGACATCTGTTAATTAATAGCTACACATACTCTTTGTAGTACCTATTTATGAGGTCTCATTTTTAAAAACCTAACATCTCTGCTTAGGAAGAGCCAAGCTATATTCATATTGACAGCTGGGTTCCTAACATTATATTTAAAGATGTAACTGTTCACTCTTCCTATCTTTGAAGGCAAGAAAGCAATTAAACTATTTTGGAAATAAAAGTCCAAGTCATCTTTTCTTTAAAAAGGAGTTATAAGCCACAGTTAATTTATAAAACACACTGTCATAAAAGTTATAAATAATTCCTTTGATTCTCTGACCAGTCCTTAAAAGCCCAGGTAACCTATAAATGTATATTAAGTAAGTTGAATTAGATTAAAATAACCTGAAGGCCTGATTCTACATGTCCAAAAAATGACTTGAAATTTCCAAATTATAGTTCGAAGAGGTATGAGTTCTATGTTTTTATCTGATTTACTGATGGGTAGTGAACTGTTTAGGACTAGGAAGGGAATCTGAATCCACATGCTCTTCCCCCATCCACTCTCCAACATCATTTAAATCAAGTCATCAATATCTGTTGGTTATGCAATTCACTAAAAGTCACTGACTGTGCCATAATTTAATTCTCATTTCTGATCAGATCTTAAAAGAAACTTGTGATTCTGATGAATGTTTTATTGAATCAAGCCTCACCATATTTTAAGAGAATTTTCTTAATAAAAGCATCTAATAATGTTATCAAAAAAAAGAGAAAGTCATTGGATCTCTTACTTTCTAAAGTAAAGAGAATTGAAGGAAATTGAGTGCCTTGTCAAAAGTAATAGAGTTTTTCATGGCAGAGACAAGGTCGTTGCAGAGCCTTTGTTGTGTTTACTGAAATCTTTTTTCCTTTTTTCCTGGGAATACGGCTACATGACATTTTTCAGCCTCTTTTGGAGAAAAGGTGGCTTTATGATAGAAATAAACTGTTACTTCATATAGTTCACCTTAGCTAAAGTGGTTGAGAGCAGGTATGGTTTTCCTGTACTTTCCCTATCCATGGGTTGAATGGAGAAGACTGAGGACTTAGGTAAAAGAAGAGGTCAAATAAACGAAAGGGTACTCAAGCAAGAACATTCAGATTATACTCACAAAAACACTGGACTGAGATTTATCTATTTCTGAAGTTTACAGTACTCTATAATAAACATTGCTGCCTAAATCCTCCCAGTGCAATGCAGTTTTTAGTGCCTGTAAATACAGGCACTAAAAAATACTCTTGGGAGATTGGGGTTGTAGCTCAGTGGTAGAACATGTGCTTAGCATGTGTGAGGCCCTGGATTTGATCTCTAACACACATGAGTGCAGACCATTAGAGGATAATACATATGATCTAGAAGATATGTGTTATATACTATGAATGTTATTGGTATGATCCAGTAAAGTACGTACTCAAACTTCCACTTAAGAACATCATCATTTTAAATTTGGAATGAAGAATGTAGAATTACAAGTTATTTATATAAATGCAGATTAGAAATATTTTTAAAACCTAGGGAAAAATAAATAATGGTGGTTTGATAATAATAATTTGAAGATTTAAAATGCTTTATTAGTAAAATGAAGTTTTATATTGAGAAAGCACCAATAAATAACTATAAGAGTATTAATAATCTGAGAATGAGACAAAATTACAATTTTAAATTTTTGTAAGTCATAAATTATTTTAATCACCCAGTCAAGTAAATAAATCAGGTACTTGTTTCTTACGGTGCCTATATTTTACATTTCTTATATTTCATGTTATCAGTAATGACTAAGCATTCAATTGGGTAAATGTTTTCTGAGTGAATTGTGATCAACCAAATACAAACACTAATTAATGCTAAATTTCGAAAGACTGAAAAAACTTCATAATACTATACTAAGTTATTACAGGCTAAATCTGATGTTGGTATAAGCCCAATCAATAAAAGAGAACAATTCTTTCTTGCCAAGGATTTTCAGAGTGTTTTGTATAGAACCTGAAAAAAATTAGGACAATCTGGGAAACATTCACATTCAATCCCTTCCTCTCTGAGACTGTCACAAGGTTTGAGATGAGACTTGAACACTGCATTTTTCAAGATCCCCACAGGTGACCCTAACATCTATTAAAGGCCAAATTTCACTGGTGTACAATTTAGTCAAGAAATGGCTGTTACAAAAATTAGTATGTGATGAACCTGCAGTTCAACTTATTGATTTACATAATGGATACTTTACTTCAAACATATGCAAACTGAAATTGCTTGAGTAAAATATTTTAAATGAATTAGTAGAATTTATTGGAGTATTTGTTCTTTTCCAAATGAACATATAGGTAAAATATCGTAACTGTTAATATACATAAACATTAACAAAAAAAAATCTATGCTTCCAAAACAACATTTCAAACTTCTTTATTTGCTGTTGAGTCTTCAACTGCCATCACATGTTTAATGAACTTGTTATTTAAATGTGACAATCAATTCACTAAGGTTTTTGAATATAGTAATCACTTCCAAGGCTTCAAATGAGGCCCCAAAGAAGTGCAGGCTTCTGATTTGTAGCTACTGAAAAGTAAAGCCATTGTTTACAAAATGAGCATAAAGGAGAATGAAACAGAGCTATTCAGTAGACTTGAAGAGCTATAGAGCTTTCTAGCAGTAGTTTTTTTTTTTTTTTTTTTAAAGACATTTGGGACTTTGCACATAGAATTTTAACAACACGAGAATTTACTTTAAAAAAATTGACTACACATCCATACAACTATAGGACATTAAGCTACAGTCATTGAAACAATTGCATACAGAATTTTTACAACTAGAAGAAACCTACTCATTTAATCCAATTTTCTTATTTTGCAGATGAGAAAATTTGAGGCCTCAAATGGCCAAAGTGACTGACCACGAAAACATCAGGAGCAGGTTACAAAGCTAGGGTCAGGAAGTATTGTGGGTGGTTAAAGTGCAAACAAAGGAATGGGAATTCCTGTTTACCTTTATACTAAGGCAGTGGGCACAAGGACTAAGGGTGTAAAAGGAGAATGATTTTATATATGAATGGTAATTCAAAAGGGGAAAAAAAGACATTGGAATTAAGGATTTTAGACCAAAGTTCATCATCCTGTGACTGCTTCTTGGCTAGGAATAAGAGAGCAAAGAATCTCAGGTTTCCATGACAGATCACATCCCTAACCCTGGCTAATCAAATTGCTTTTAATTCTCTGGTTCTGTTTAGCTGACAATGTGAATACTTCCTTACTCTTTTTTGTTCTATGTGCTTTAGTTTGGAGGATTGAATTGGACAGGTGTTGGCAAATAATTAAGAGCATTTTAGGAAGGTTCTAGAGCAGTGTTATGTAATACAGCAGTTACTAGCCCATGGATCTATTTTAATTATTAGCAAATACTAGTCTAATAAAATTAAAAATTCAGTTCTTTACTTAGACTAGTCATGTTTTAAATGCTCAAAAGTCCCATGACACTAGAGGCTACCAAACTGGATGACAAATACATGGAACATTCCCATCAATACATAAAGTTCTGCACAATGCTGCCCTAGTCTTACAGATCTAGGTTCGCCTCTCACTCTATCACTCATTATGTATCACCGTGGACAAGTTATTTAACTTCTTTAGAGAGTTAAATGCTTACCTTCTTCAACAGAATGGGGATAAGTAATGCATAGTATTTTCTTTTAGGGAATCCTTCATGAGAGATCTATAAAATGAAATAATTCATGCATGGCTCTAGCACAGAGTAAGTACACAAAATAAGCTACTGTTAGAAGATCCTTGCTTTTCAGTGGAAAGGTCTATGATTTCAGACTTTTATCTTTATATGATATTATTTGTTTTGTTGGCTTTTTAAAAAACTGATCCCCAGACCTGGGCACAGTGGTGTATGCCTATCATCCCAGCTATTTGAGAGGCTGAGGCAGGAGGATCAAAAGTTTGAGACTTGCCTGGACAACTTAATGAGAACTTGTTTCAAAACGAAGTTTTAAAAGGGGCTGGGGATGTAGCTCAGTGGTTGAGTGACCCTTGGTTCTTCCCTCAATACCAAAAACAAAGAAAGAAAGGAAAAAATAAATGATCCTTAGTATTATCAGGTCCCCGCCTCCCCACCCCCTGAATCTGTACTTTTGATTCAGCTCAGGGCCTGTGCATGCCAGGAAAGTGTTCTTTCACTGGGCTATATCCCCCAGCCCCCTGCCCCCAATTTTTTATTTTTTGAGACAGGATCTTGCTAAATTGCCCAGGCTGGTCTCAAGCTTTCGATCCTCTTGCCTCCCAAGTGGCTGGAGTTAAAAAGGTATATACACCACCAGGACTGGCTCTTCCCTCCCACACACCCCCCCGCCCCCCACCTTTTTTTTTCTGTTATACTAGGTTTTTTGATTCTGTCATAAGAATTTGCATTAGGATTTCTTTCTCTCTTTCTCTCTTTCTTTCGTTCGTTTGTACTGGGGATTGAACCCAGGGACACTCAACCACTGAGCCACATCCCTAGCTTTATTTTGTATTTTTTTTATTGACAGGGTCTCACTGAGTTGCTAAGTGCCTCACCATCGCCGAGGATGGATCCTCCTGTCTCAGCCTCCTGAGCTGTTGAGATTACAGGTGTGTGCTACCAGGGCCGGCAAGGATTTCTTAATGGAGTAATTTTTCTAATGAAGTTTTAACAATTACTTCACAAGCATTATATTACATATAATTCTGAGTAGTAAAAAAGGTACACTGAAACTCCAAATGGTCTGTTTGGCTTACTCCCTAGGTAAGTGATTTACTCCTGCATCTTAGCTTATGGCAATTAGAATTTATGTCTTTGTGAAGGTGCAATT